GCAAAGCAAGGCAAAACAAGCTCAGGGTGGATCTCAAGGATACCACACAAATTCCGAGCACAAGCAAGTGGTCACAAGACCAGTTCACATGCAGGTTGATAATAGAGCAAAAAGTACAATGATCACAACCTAGCAAGAGTAAACATGTAGGTATATATATATAGAGATCACAGTACAAACAGGCTCAAGAAGTAAGCAAGTGAGGTCCAGTAGGCACAAGGCCTAGAAGAGTGCAAAAGCGCTGATGGTCACAAGGCTGAAGCGCCTTGGTGAACACATCAGCAGTGTTGGCCTCAGAGGCCACGTAACGCAGGCGAAGCTGACCACGCTGCTGTAGCTCTCGAGCAAGGAAGTAACGCAGAGCAATGTGCTTTGTTCTGTGGTCCAGTCTGTGCTCCTCACACAACGCAATGGCTGCCTTGTTGTCGACGTACAGCACTGGAGGAGAACGAGGCTGCTCTCCGAGGTCGGTCAGCAAGTAGGTGAGCCAGCGTAGCTCCTGGGCTGCCATGGCTGTGGCGTAGATCTCAGCCTCACAACTGGAGCTGAGAACAGAAGAAGAGCGAGTAGAACGCCAAGAAACTGAACCAGAGCCAAGACTGAAGGAGTAACCCTGAGACGACCACTGAGTAGCCTGGTCGTCTGCCCAAGAAGCGTCTGAGTGTCCAGTGAGAACAACTGGGACTCGCCCTCCAAGCACTAGCCCCATGCCCGACGTACTGCACAAGTAGCGCAACACCCTCTTAGCTGCATCCATGTGCTCCTTCCGGTGACGGCCAGGAGCGACATAGCGTGCAAGAATGCTGAGAGGGTATGCAAGGTCAGGTCGAGTGCAGGTCATCAGGTACATGAGGCAACCCACAAGCTCTGGATACGGGCCACTCGACTTTACGGACTCATCCGAAGGCAGAGCTGAGAGCGAGTGACCGGTAGGCAGAGGAGTGGGCTGAGGCGAGGAGTACGTGAAGCGGAAGCGCTGAAGGACCTGCTGCACCATGTGTGACTGAGTCAAGGTGATGGTGCGGCGTGCTCTGTCCCGGGTGATCCGCAAGCCAAGATAGCTTGTCAGTTCACCCAGGTCTGTGCACGTGTGTCTCTTCTGCAGCTCCGACTTTACGTGGGCGAGTGCCACAGTGTCAGCAGTAGCAAAGACCAAGTCATCGACGTACTCAAGGACGTAGAACAGCGATAGTGAGGTGTCGGTGCGTAGAATTAGCGACGGGTCAGCAGTAGAAGGCGCGAACCCAAGAGCCGCAAGTGTAGTCCTCAGTGTGTCGTGCCACTCACGAGGCGCCTGGCGGAGACCGTAGACTGGCCGTCGGAGGCTCCACTGGGTACCAGGAGGGAACGACCCAGTGAAGCCAGGTGGACGGCGCAGCCAGATCTCCTCGTGCAAGCTGCCCTGTAGGAAAGCAGTGCTCAAGTCAAGCGAGTGGAGCTCGTAGTCACGCTGAGCGGCGACGTGCAGCAGAACCCAAAGAGTGGTCATCTTCGGGGTCAGGGAGAAGGCCTGGAAGAAGTCAACTCCCTCTCGGTGACTAAAGCCTCGTGCAACGTAACGCGCCTTGAAGACAGGCGGAGAGCCCGGCGGCCGCTTCACCCTGAAAATCCACATGCCACTGACGATGTTCGCCCCAGGTGGGGGAACCTCGTTGACGTAGGTGCCTGTGGACTTCCAGGAAGCCATCTCTGTGTCCATGGCCGACTGCCACTGAGAGGAGTAGGGACCGGCCATCGCCTCTACGTAAGAGCGTGGGGTCGGGATGTCTGGTGCATCCGGGTCTCCCTCAGGGGCAACAAGCATGGACACGAGATGGGGCAAAGCGGCAGCAAAGCACTCAAACTCCTCCTGCCTGTCCTCAAGGACGTCAGTGCCAAGAGCACACTCACCCCCGACGGACGGAGGACAGACAGACTCAAACTCAGCAACTAGGCTAGCAGCGTAGTCTAGACGACAGCGAGCAGCAAAGTCGACAAGCTCAGCAACTAAGTCAGACGCAGCAGCAGACTCAAAGGAAGGGTCAGTGACAACAGTAGCCAGGAGACGCGTGACAGTAGGACTGGTAGCACGAAGAGAGTCTGCTGGGTCCGCAGCACCAGCAGAAGCTCCAACACCTGGGTCCGCAGCACCAGCAGAAGCGCCAACGCTCGGGTCCGCAGCACCAGCAGCAGCTCCAACGCCCGGGTCCGCAGCACCAGTAGCAGCTCCAACACCCGGGTCCTCAGCACCAGCAGTAGCTCCAACGCCCGGGTCCGCAGCACCAGCCGCACCTCGAACACCTGGGTCCTCAGCACCAGCAGCAGCTCCAACACCCGGATCCGCAGCACCAGCAGCAGCTCCAACACCCGGGTCCTCAGCACCAGCAGCAGCTCCAACGTCCGGGTCCGCAGCACCAGGAGCAGCGCCCACGGTAGCGAGGTCTGCAACACGAGGCACGCCACTCCGAAGAGTGCAGCGCCGCTCGTACCACTCACGGATCCGCTCACGGGAGGGGAGCTCCCGACTGGGAGGAGAAGCACTAGCACCAGTCCCAGCAGCACGCCCGGCTTGAGCGGCACCTCTCCTGAGGCTGCAGTACTGTAAGTACCACTCACGCAGCTGCTCCGAGGAGAGGGCTCCTCCAGGTGTAGGACTCCCAGGTCCAGTACCTCCAGACCCAGAACCTCCAGACTCCGGACTCTGCGGCTCAGCACCCCCAAGCTCAGCACCCCCAAGCTCAGCACCCCCAAGCTCAGCACCCCCAGGCTCCACACCCCCAAGCTCATCACCCCCAGGCTCAGTACCCTTAAGCTCAGCACCCCCAGGCTCCACACCCGCAGGCTCCACACCCCCAGGCTTAGCACCCCCAGGCTCAGCACCCCCAGCAGGATGAGAGTCGACAGCTACCTCAACAGGCTCAACCAGGTCTACCTGAGACACATCTGAGGGAGCGGCACCCAGAGGGGGGGGGGGGGTCTACAACAGCAGCACCTGGGGCGAGGAAGAGAGGCGGGGGGGGGAGCGGGGCAGTGCGGTAGGGGAAGAGACGGTAGTAGGGGACGGACTCGTCAAAAGTGACGTCCTGAGAGGGCAAGACTCGGCACGAGGTGGCTTGGTAAAACTGCCAACCAGACGCGTCCGGGACAAAGCCGAGGAAGACGCAGGGAACAGCACGGGAGGAGAGCTTTCTAGGGGCCTTTTAGGGGTCGACGGGGCCGCTAGGGAGGTAAGCGCGGGGCCGTTCGGGGCCGTTTAGGGGTCGACGGGGCCGCTAGGACGGTGAGCGCGGGGCCTAACGGGGCCACTAGGGGCCGACGGGGCCGTTTGGGGCCGCTAGGGAGGTAAGCGCGGGGCCGTTCGAGGCCTTTTAGGGGTCGACGGGGCAGCTAGGGAGGTAAGCGCGGGGCCGTTCGGGGCCATTTAGGGGTCGACGAGGCCGCTAGGATGGTGATCGCGGGGCCTAACGGGGCCACTAGGGGCCGACGGGGCCGTTTGGGGCCGCTAGGGAGGTAAGCCCGGGGCCGATCGGGGCCTTTTAGGGGCCCTAGGTAGGTAGGTAGGTAGGCAGGTAGGTAGGTAGTGGTGGGCCCTTAACAGTTCGGTCCTAGGCAGGACCTGCTCTGATACCATGTTGGAATAACTGAACAGGAAAATGGATGAACTAAGAGCGAAAACAGTACAAATACCTAACCCTAGAATTGTGTACCCCCTACAGGCTAACCCACTGTAGCCTAAACAAGCACAACAACACATATATTGTTTGACAGGCACTTCGTCCTTCCGCTGTTCCATTTCGTGTCCCTCTGCGGTCTCCTCCTGCGTCCTCCCTTGCTGACAGTCTTGACCCCGAGTCTGACTCACTTCGTGCTGCCAGCCCTACCATCACGCGTCTGCTAGCCACTGTTGTCACTTACCCTTCCTTTGAGTCCACTGCTGCTTCTGCCTTAGTTGCTGAGCTTGTCGACTTTGCTGCTCGCTGTCGTCTAGACTACGACACTAGTCTTGTTGCTTAGTTTGACTCTATCTGTCCTCCATCCGTCGCGGGTGAGTGTGCTCTTGGCACGGACGTCCTTGAGGAAAGACAGGGGGACTTTGAGTGCTTTAAAGCTGCTGTACCCCATCTCGTGTCCATGCTGATTGCACCTGAGGGAGACCAGGATGCACCAGACATCCTGAACCCCCGCTGTTACACAGAGGCAATAGAGGGTCCCTACTCCTCTCAGTGGCAGTCGGCCATGGACGCACAGATGGCATCCTGGAAGTCCACAAGCACTGGTGTCGACGCAGTTCCCCCTCCTGGGGCGAACATTGTCCATGGCATGTGGATTTTCAGGGTGAAGCGGCCGCCAAATTCTCTGCCTGTCTTCAAGGCGCGTTACGTTGTACGAGGCTTCAGTCAGCGACAGGGAGTTGACTTCTTCCAGACCTTCTCCCCGACCTCGATGATGACCACTCTTCGGGTTCTGCTACATGTCCCCGTTCAGCGTGATTACGAGCTTCACTGACTCTAGTGAAGTTGGAGCTGTAGAAGAGACACACGTGCACTGACCTGGGTGAGCTGCGCAGCTATCTTGGCTTGCAGATCACCCGGGAGAGAGCACGCCGCACCATTACCTTGACTCAGTCACACATGGTTCAGCAGGTCCTTCAGCGCTTTGACTTCCAGTACTCCTTCCCACAGTCCACTCCTCCGCCTACTGGTCATTGGCTCTCAGCTTTGCCTTCGGATGAGTCTCTAGAGCCGAGTGGCCCGTATCTAGAGCTTGTGGGCTGCCTCATGTACCTGATGACCTGCACTCGACCTGACCTTGCTTACCCTCTTAGCATCCTTAGAATGGGGTTGCTGAGCGCCGCATTGGCTTAGTCATGGAGGTCACTTGTACCTCCATGATCCATGCGGCTGCTCCCCATTTTCTGTGGCTGTTTGCGGTCCGGTACGCTGCGCATCAGCTCAACCTCTGACCTCGTGTCTCCCTACCGGAGACCTCGCCTACACTGCGTTGGACGGGGGAGGTTGGCGATGCGTCGGTGTTCCGGGTCTAGGGTGCTCATGCCTTTTTCCGCAATACTTCCAGGGACAAGCTCTCCTCCCACGCCATTCCCTGTGTCTTCCTTGGCTTCCCCTCTAACGCACTTGGCTGGCAGTTTTACCACCCCACCTTGCATCGTGTTCTGTCCTCTGAAGACGTCACGTTTGATAGGTCGGTTCCCTTTTACCGTCTCTTCCCGTACCGAACTGCCCCTCCCCCCCCCCTCGCCGCTCTTCCACACTCCAGGTCCCCCTTCGGTAGATCCCCTCCCCCCTCAGGGTCCTGCTCCTTCAGGTGTGTCTCAAGTAGACCCACTCCCCTTGGTTGGGCATGTCGAGATCACTGGTGACTCTAGTGCTGCTCGGGGTGCTGCTGAGCTTGCGGGTGCAGAGTTTGAGCGTGCGGAGGCTGGGGGTGCTGAGCTTGCGAGAGCGGAGCCCGGGGTTGCTGAGCCTGAGCGTGCGGAGCCTGGGGGTGCTGAGCTTGCGGGTGCGGAGCCCGGGGGTACTGAGTCTGAGCGTGCGGAGCCTGGGGGTGCTGAGCCTGCGGGTGCAGAGCCTGGGGGTGCTGAGTCTGGGGGTGCTGAGCCTAGGGGTACGACGTCTACACTACGGGAGCCTCTCTCCCCACAGCAGCTGCGCGAGTGCTACACTCGGCGCACCCACCTTCGGAGTGGCGCTGCTGGAGCTGGAGGGCCTGAAGCTGCTAGTCCTAGAGGTGCTGGAGGTACTTCTGGAACTGGAGGTACTGGGGGTGCTGGAGCTACTAGTCCTGGAGGTCCTACTAGTGCCTCGCCCCAGCAGTCTAGCCGGCGGGAGCCTCTCTCCCCACAACAGTTGCGCAAGTGGTACTATTGGCACACCCGCCTTCAGAGTGGCGCTACTGGAGCTGGAGGCCCTGCCGCTGGAGGCGCTGGCGCTGGAGGCACTGGTGCTACTAGAGCTGGAGGTGCTGGAGCTGGAGGCACTGGAGCTTGAGGCACTGGAACTGGAGGTGCTGCTGATGTTGGAGGTGCTGGAGGTGGTGGAGGTGCTGGAGCTGCTGGTCCTGGAGGTGCTCGTACAGGAGGTACTGGAGCTACTGGATCTGGTGGTGCTGCTAGTGCTGGAGGTGCTGGAGGTCCTGGAGGTGTTGGAGCTGCTGCTCCTGGAGGTGCTCGTGCTGGAGGCACTGGAGCTGCCGGAGCTGGTGGTGCTGCTGGTGCTGGAGGTGCTGGAGGTGCTGGAAGTGCTAAAGCTACTGGTCCTGGAGGTGCTCGTGCTGGAGGTACTGGAGCTGCTGGAGCTGGTGGTGCTGCAAGCGCTGGAGCTGGAGACCCAGGAGTTGGAGATCCTAGAGCTGGAGACCCTAGAGCCAGGGGTGCTGGAGATGAGAGTACTGGTGCTGGAGACATTATGCGGCCGCGACCGTACTTTGTTCCACTACTTCGCCAGGTTCTTAGTCTCCCGTCTTCTACTGACCTTTCTCCTCCTCTACTGTGTCCACCGCCCGACCAGTCGCAGCCACAGTTACTGCCAGCCTCTCCACTGCGTGCTCCTTCTCCCTACACTGAGCAGACAAACTCTCTTACAGAGCGTCGTGAGCCTGAGTCTCGTCCTGCTTTGCCTGTTCGCGCTGTTCGCACTGGTTGTCGTGTCCCTCGTCGGCGTCCTCCTCCTGTCTCAGGCACACATGGTATGGCACTTCGTCCTTCCTCTATTCCACTGCGAGTTCCCTTGCCGTCTCCTCCGGCGTCCTCTCTTCCTGACGTTCCGGACCTTGAGTCTGACTTACTTCGTGCTGCCAGTCCTACTATCACGCGTCTTCTAGCCACTGTTGTCACTGACCCTTCGTTTGAGTTCGCTGCTGTGTCTGCCCTGGATGCTAAACTTGTTGACTTTGCTGTCGCATGTCGTCTCGACTACACCGATAGTCTTGTTGCTGAGTTTGAGTCTGTCTGTCCTCCGTCCGTCGGAGGTGAGTGCGCCCTTGGCACGGATCTACGCAGGGGCCATGGCTGCACAGGAGTTACGCTGGCTCACCTACCTACTGACTGGCCTAGGAGAGCCGCCTCGTTCTCCTGCAGTTCTGTACATAGACAACAATGCCATAATTGCCTTGTGTCACGAGCACAGATTGGAGCACAGGACGAAGCACATTGCTCTGTGTTACTTCCTTGCTCGAGAGTTGCAGCAGCGTGGTTAGCTTTGTCTTGCTTACTTGGCCACTCAGGCAAACACTGCTGATATATTCACCGAGGCACTTCAGTCTGGTAATCATCAGCGTTTTTGTACTATTTTAGGCCTTCTGCCTGCTTTGTCTCACTTGCTCACTGCGTGACTTTGATTGTACTGTGATCTCTATATATATACCTGCATGCTTACACTTGGTAGGTTGTGATCAGTGTACTGCTTGTTCTCATTTATATGACTCTGCATGTGAACTGGCCTTCTGGCCGATTTGCTTGTACTCAGAGTGTGTGGTGACTTTGTGATCCACCCTGAGCTTACTTTGCTTTTCTTGACTGGTCTTGTGACCCCACCTTGCCTTTGGGGGTGTCTCAAACTGTTATATTATTATGTAGGCTATAGTAGGGTAGCATATATGGGGTACAACCCAAATAAGGGTTAGTACTTGTATCACTTTCTTACTCAATGCATTCATTCCTGCTCGTTAGATTCTAACACTGGAATCTAGCTACTCTAATTTTCTTGTGTGGACCTTGTGAGACAATTGTGATTAAGTTTATGTCGCGACATCAATGCGCACAAACTCATAACTAAAAAAATACTTCACATTTTCATGCAATTCAAATTGGGACTTGTAGCTACGGTCCAGAGCTACAACATAGCTATGTTTGATGAAGTTTTAATGGTTAACATTTCGTCGACCGCGTTTCTTGCAAACTCAACGTTTCTGTCCAGAAATTTTGGTCCAACGTTTTTGTGATAATTCGGCCCCTAAACGTTCTAGACTCTGTTCTTAGTCTCTAACAAGTGGCATGAAAGCTGATTGAGGACCTTGTGTAGAGTCTAATGAGGTGTGAAGACCCTCCTAGACCCACCATGGCCTGTGGGCGTGCCTAAGTGGAGTTCTAGAGGTTAGATGTGATTTCCGCTAAGAGGAAACTCTGCCGAAATTTTGTTGGCGCCGACACTTGTGAAAATATTGTGGGACTTCGTTGTGGACAGTAAGGGGGGAGCTGGAACTTGTGATTAAAGCAGAGGAGATGAATCAAGGGAGTGGGGATGCAGTTGAGAAGAGGAATGAGCCGCCACCATCGAAGATCGAAGCATTGGATGGCTCTAACTATGAGGAATGGAGCGGGCGGATGAGGAGCACCTTCAAGCGCTACAAGCTGTTGAAACTTGCGATGGGGGAAGAGAACATGCCGGAGGAAGGAGATGCCCCTGATCGGTTGATTGAGAAGAGAGCGGTGCTATACGACTTGATCCTTTAGTCTGTCAACAACGACATGTTCCAGCACATCAAGGATTTGGTGGAGCTCGATGACTCCAAACCGAAGGCGTGGAAGTTACTACGCGATGTGATTCAGCCCAATACGCTGCCTATGGTGATTGTGTTGGAGAAGGAGTTGGCGGCCCTCTCCATGCGATCGGGAGACGATGTGAAGCCGGTCCTTGACAAAATCAAGGACATTAATGCGAGGATGGCAGCGGTGGGCAGCAAGGTGTCGCAGATGCGGCAGTGCACCAAGATCATCTCGGTGCTTGACAACACATGGGAAAACCTCATCCCGACCCTCAACACTCAGCAGGACCAGTGGACGCCTAAGTAGCTATGGCAGCAGATTCTGAAGGAGGACTTCCGCAGGCGCCACACGGGAGGTGGTTCTGCCAACAAGACTACTGAGGGGTAAGGAGGCAGCAGAGTAAGAGTGGGTGGGAGAGGCCGAGGCCGTGGGAGAGGCTTTGGCAGAGGGAGAGGTCGAGGTGACTACAATGAGGGGCATGGGAGCTCTGGTGGCAGGAGGAGCACCCAAATGGAGGGTGCGTGCTGGTACTGCAAGAAGGCTGGCCACCCATGGTGCAAATGTTTCAGCCGACGTGAGGGATGGGCGCCTCTAGATATGAAGCCGCCAAGTGGTGAACGTGCATGAGGTGGCGCCATGCAAGGTTCAGGTGCACATGGTGAAGGTGCATATGGTAAAGCCGGCCCTGGGATGTTCCTCATGGTTGAGGATGTGCAACGAGTGGAGGTGATGTGAGTTTGGTTGGGAAGGTTGTGATGCACCCCCTCACTCACTGGATGATAGATTCGGGTTGCACAAGTCATATGACCCCACGGGAATATTTGCTTGATATGAAGTCCCCACGGGAAGATTTGCTTGCTGTTTCAGGTGCTTTGCTTCTTGTGAATGGTGTTGGGAATGCCAAGGTGTTGGGAGCCAATGGGGAGCTTGTGGGGTTGGGAAATGTGCTGCTGGTTGAAGGTTTGTCTGCTAACCTACTTTTTGTGCGCCGACTGCAGAAAAGCAAGGTTGAAGCGACCTTCGGCCCAACCAGCTATCGTGCAAAGCTTGGGAAGTTGCTGCTATAGAACCTGGACAAGAAGAGCAGCTGCATACCCGTGGCAGCTCCCAATCATCCCTTGGAATGAGAAACCTCCAGCAACGGCAGCGGCAGTAGCAATGGCAAAGGCAACTGAGGGAGGAGAGAAGACTGCACCAACGGTTGGGGCCCAAGATGCAGTCAAGAACGTGCAGCAGCCACATCAGCCGCATGATGAGGTGCTTGCTGGTGTGGATGGGACAGCTGCATGGGCAAAGGCTTCATCTAGGAGTGGTGAGGCCGATTGGGAGACGTGGCACGAGAGGTTGTGTCACATCAACATTCCTATGCTATAGAAGTTGGTGAAGGATAGGAGCTTGAAGAGGTTGGAGGTGAAAGGGGCAGCGAAGGAGATGGGAGCTGACATACATGCCTTGAGACAAAATTCACCAAGTTCCCATTCAGCAGCGGCACTGGACCAGCCAAGGCACCACTCGCACTTGTGCACATGGATGTTGTGGGCTGTACAAGGGCCCCTTCACTCTCGGGCAGCCGCTACTTCTTGACGATTGTGGACGACCACGCTCGTGCAGTGTGGGTCTACCCTCTGAAGACTAAGGGGGAGGTGGCAGGGGTTGTTCTTAAGGAGTGGATGCCGAGAGCTTAATGGGAGAGATGACACAAGGTGAAGGTGATCCGCACTGACAATGCGGGAGAGTTCATCCGTGCTGATGTTGAGAAGGGGCTGAAGCATAAGGGAATCCAGCATCAGCTCACAGTGCCCTACAACCCACAACAGAACGGCGTGGCTGAGCGGTTCAACTGGACCCTCTAGGAAGGTGCTCGCACTCTCCTCAGACGTACAGAGCTGCCGAATCAGTTTTGGGTGACTGCATCACGATAGACCTTCTTGTGAAGAGCAGCAGCAGCAGCAGCAACAACAACAACAACAACAACAACAACAACAACAACAACAACAACAACAACAACAACAACAACAACAACAACAACAACAACAGCAACAACAACAACAACAACAACAACAACAACAACAAGATGCTCCTTCACGTGCCCAACGTCCGCCTGACCATCCTAGAAGGGATGTGCGCCCACCTAACAGGCTGACCTATCCTTGTTTTGGAAACCCAAAGGTGGTATAAGCTGGGAGTGTGGTTGAGCAATGTGATGAGGATGAGATAGCACAGTGCTACTGGGTAGCCGTCCCTGAGCCTAAGACGCTAGCTGAGGCACTGAGCCGGTCTGGTGCTGAAAAATGGAAGCAGAGTGTGAAGGAGGAGTATGACTCTCTGCTGGAGAATGAGACTTGGGAGGTGTGTGAGCTGCCTCCTGGGAAGAAGGCAACCTCTTTGAAGCTGATCTTCAGGCACAAGTATGTACTTGATGGAGAGCTGGCCCGCTATAAGTCAAGGCTTGTGGCAAAGGGGTTTCGGCAGACAAAGGGGAACGATTTTGATGAGATTTTTGCTCCTATGGGGAAAGGGACAACACTTAGGGTGATGTTGGGAACGGCTGCAAACCGTGGATGGAGGATCTGTACATGCGGATGGACATCACTACTGCCTTCCTCAATGGGATAATCCTGGAGGAGCTGTACATGCAGTAGCCTAAGGGATGGATGATGGGAGCGGCAGGGTGTGCAGGCCGAAGAAGGCCATCTATGGCTTGAAGCATGCTCCTCGCGCATGGAACCACAAGCTGGAGGAGACACTGCTGGCTGGGGGATTCAAGAAAAGCGAGTGTGATCACAGCCTGTTCCTGTTGCAAGAGAAGGAGCAGTTCCTCATGCTCTTGGTGTATGTGGATGACATCCTTCTCTTCTCTGAATCATCATGCTTTGACCGACCCTGTGGAGAAGATGCTGGAGATGCAGTTCAAGTGCTTGAAGATGGGAGATGTGAAGTATTACTTGGGGATACATGTTGAGAGGGACCTTGACAAGGGAGTGTTGAGGTTGCACCAAAGGAAGTATTCTAAGGGCTGGCCGAGAAGTACGGGCTGCAGGATGGAGGAAGGCCAGCAACCCCACTGCCTTCAGGGTTCACTGTGGAGCCCTGTACTGATGAGGAGGTGGTGGGTGAGAGCAACAGGAAGCTGTTTCATTCCATAGTTGGGGCACTCAAATATGCGGCAAACCATACGCGGCCCGACATAGCCTTTGCTATATCTAGGCTTGCTAGTGTGGTCTCACGCCCCATGAGTAGTTGGAAGCGGCCAAAAGGTTGGTCTGATGTGGGAGTGCTACACCATCAGTGGGCTTGGAGTACAGTGCTATGCGACAGAGGCTGCAACGGGGTGCAG